ACGACCTCCCGTCTGGGACTTCGCGCCTTCGCCTTTTGTCCCCATTGGCCCTTGAGGGGGAGGAGAGGGGGAGGAGAGATGAGGAAGCCGCCATCCAGATCCATCACACTGTGACTGCCCTGGACCTTGACACCCGACGGGATTGCTCGGGCGGTCCCCACCTCCAACTGCCCCCACCTGCCAGAACCTGCCCTGTCCTCGCACGTTCGTCTACCCGCCCAATCAGCCTCTCCTGCTCGTTCAGTTCAGACCAGACCAGACCAGAGAGCCTTGCGTTGCGGCCCTTGCCAGTGCCAGCCGGCTAAACAGTATCGACACTGTACCTGCATCCCCCCTGCTTCCTGCCTTGCAACCCATCCTCCCTCACGAACCCACTCCAGAAGCAACTTCGACCCGCATTTTGCTTAAGCGAGCAAAACGTGAATCCACCTCATGATCTGATTCCATCGTGCCTCCTCACTGACGCATCCGGTGCCCATCACGGCCGCCCCCAAAATCAAACTCTAATGGACGACGTGTCTATGAATATGTAAAAGAGGCGCCTTCTTATTCATCCTCTCGACCCATCGTAATATCATCCGATGCCTTTGCTAACGCGACGCTCCTGATGAGGGGTCTCCAATATCCAATATCCAGAGTGAAGAGAGAACTTACCACGCAGTAGAGGGATCACTAACCGTCGAAGCGATGCGAATCCGTACAGTTGCTTCATCCCCCAAACACCCACCGTCCGATTCATTACCAACCAAACCTGTCAAAGAAGGCATGGACAGGGACGCCACGCGAAGCTAGAGATCCGCACCTCGCCCCGTTGCGAGATGACTGACTGCGCCAAATATCAAATCCGACGGAAAGGTTCACCCTCTACTGTACAGATACCCAAGCCGCCGGCATGGGAAAACGCCTCTCGAGACACACACTCTCTCGTTTTCATCACGCACTCCTGCGGCACAGGCGGCGAGAGCCCATGCTTGTTTTTGGCAATGTTTGCCTGTCTGGCTGTAAATAATTCACCCGCATACTTCGGTTCTGCTCATGGCAAAGTGAGCCACCGCCGCCCGCAATTCGACAAGAAGCCAATGATCGGCCGTGATCACAGACTCATCCAGAAGGCCACGGGGAACCTTTTTACCACGCGTGATTGTTCCGTTTGCCCACATCGAGCCTGGTCCAGGTTCTTTCTCTCAATAGCGCTGCAACGTACGGTGGGCAAAGTAGCAACCAGCCTTCACTCTGTGAGACACGGCACGCAAGGGAAGAGAAACTCATCGCCAAAGAGTAAATGTCAAGTCTGCCAGCTGGGTACACCTTCGAAATCCGCCAGGGACATACCAATCGAAAGCCATCTCGCATGTCAGCCACACCATCTCGATTTGCCATCCTCTCTTACCGCCCCCATCAGCTGGTCCAATTCGCCAGTGGACTGCCGCTGCTGCCATGTAACGCGACACATAATGGAAGTGTAAAGGGTAAGGAAGCTTCTGTCGAATTCACTGGTGGTAGTGAGGCTGTGAACTGGCTGAGTGGTTGACTGTATGGTTGGTTGGTCCCTTGGTTGGTCGCGTTCACTGCTGTCTACCGTTGGACGACATGTCCCAGATCACCCATTCCCATCCAACCATCTCGTATTCCCCTATACCATGTCGCGGCGTGCGTTGACCGTCCTGCCTCATCGAAGCTTCAAGACGTTTGGTCGCCGGTCGCACGACATGAGGAAAACCCACCCCGGTCGGAGAGCTCCTACGCAGAAAGGGCAAACAGGTAGGAAAATGGGCTAGGTGAGATGTGATGCCTGCCGTCATCAACCACACCGGATCTCTACCTGCGTCCTGCACGTGTTTATCGTCAGCCATGCAAGCCGGGAGCCTCCATGCGCATGCAACAGCGCTTGCACTTGCAGCCTTTCATCTCTGCTGCTCTATCTTTCTCACACACATACACACACAGGCCCCGTCTCGTCTGTCTTCTTTCTACAACGGTTGAGGCTGAAGCATTCCTTGATATCTCCACGCCGAGAATCAACGGGGGCGCAGACGTCGAGACACACGTACCGCCGCCCCTACATGGGAAGGGATGACTTGACCTTTGCCCTCCGCCGTCACAGGCATAGGCATGCAACGCCATGTCGAGAAAGAGAAGCTGCACGAACCCGTGCCTTTAAACAAGGGTTCCCCGAGCAGAGCCGGGCCTTCTCATCCCACGATTGCCCAGTCGTTCCTTAACCCACCAAGCCTCATGAAACCTCCATGGCCCCCCAAAGGAATTCTCAGCTCAGCTATCCTCGCCGACGCCCTCCTCACTGGGTCATCCACACACACACACACACACACACACATATACATACAAACAAGGATCCGAAGCTGTGGTGCAGAGAAACCAGAAACATGTCCGGCGCACATACCTCTGTCAAGACAAGACACCATCAATGACATATGCTCTCCAGCTTTTTCCTCCTGCGGGCCTAATTCGGGCGCGCTGCATAGAACACCACCATACGCCTTCAAATGCCGAAGCCGGGGAGAGGGAGGGTGCGAGGGTTCACGCCTTCCTGTTGTCTTAGAATCATTCGTTTTTGCCGGGTAGTAGCAGGCGTGGGCAATGGTTCCACGAGAGGGCAAAGACGGTCCAAGTCCAGAGCCAGAATGGCATCATGGTTCCCTATCCTCGTTATTCTAGACGTTCGAGTTCGCTGTGATACCTGCTGGTGCCGGAGCGCTTCTTCAACCACCGCCTCTACCAGCCTTTATTTTTCTCCTCTCTGCACCGTGTGACGTGATCTTTCACAAATACCTCCCTTAAACCCAAGATGCTACTTGCTTACAAACCATTCTCCTCTCGTCAGGGTTCTCTTGTTCGCGCCAGTAACAGAAATCGGTTGACGCGAAAGAGCGAAGGCGTGTGAGTGAGTGGGTTGGGTCGGGTGTGTGTGTGTGTGTGTGTGTGTCCCCCGTCTCAACCTATTTACCCCCATCCCATAATTCAAAACGTAAAACGGCCCTCTTTGCAAAAAAGACATCTCATCCCAGACACCCGTCGCGTTTCTCCAAGTTTTAGCCCGCCCGGTGACACCAAACGAACTTGTCGCAATTACTCGTTCATGGCTTTCGAAAGAGGGATCCAGGGGGGTTTCTCTGTTAGCCTTCTCGCAGTGTATGTGTGTACGTATTATCGGCGACACTGCATGAATTCCTGTACTGTGCCAACACATGAGACTCTCTTATTCTCTCACTCTCTACCTGCAGTCCTGCCCCGGGTCTGCGGCTGCGGGCTCTAAATTGTCTTTTTCTTGGTCTTCTATCTTGAGGGAAACTCTGTACCTTATTCCCGTAACCTGTGTTGCAGTATCTGTACGCTGTACGCCAGTATGTGTCCTCGACTAGACTTGCCGCCGAGAATCAGAAAACCGAAAAAGAGTTCGCCGAGACAGAAACACGTATACTCTCATTTTCTTTTCTTGGGGTTTCTGCTCCTAGACGTGAGCCAGTTGTGCCTATCCTATACATGTACGATGCGGCATGCGCCATGGTCTGTTCATTTTTTGATACTGCAGTATAACTCAGCGCGTGGCGCGACGGTCATGTGGCCAGGCATAACATACGAACATTCCTCCCTGCAGCTCGCGGAAGACAGGAAGAAGGATTTAGGGGCTGAAAACAATCTTAGACCCGGAGACATATTGGCCACGTGGTGAGGATTGAAGGATTGAAGGAGGACGAGAATGAGGCTTGCCGCCAACGACCAGGTTGCGGTTTTGAGAAGCTGTCCCCGGACTCATCGGATCGGTCAGAAAATAGAGACAGAATGCCTTTAGTACGAGCATTGCAGCATCTCGATTTGTGACTGCAGCAGGTCATGTATTGGATTTTTCTTTTTCGTGAACGTGACGCATGTCTTGGTGATGTTTGGGCCACCTCGGTGTTTGCTTCTAGCTGCTTCTCGCTACTGCATGTCTTGCTTCGAGAGGCGGGTCCTCGGGGAGTTTGGCGTTCCCGTTGATTCTGGCGGCGGGCAGCAACGGGATATGGACAGGTGTCCGGCGTTTGGGTTTCTGGATGTTGGCTTGGTATATCCTCATTGTCGATCATTGATTGTTTCTCTGATAAAGGGGGAGGGTTTGATTTGCTCTCTCGCGGAGTTCCGCTGTGATATATTTGCTTCTTCCCTGTGCGTTTCGTCAATGCGCTCGTTCATTGAAGTCGGGAGTGTAGAGGTTTTATTGCTTTTCGGCCCCGTAGGCTGGTTCTACCCAATATCTTCCTGTGTCAGGAAGGCTTGTTATTTGGCGCCCTTGGGGCATCTTGTGACGTTCAGAGGACACACAGTCTCCATTTTATAATGTGCGTTGACATTGCCGAAGCCGAGTGTCGACCCCAAGGTGTGACGCCAAGGACCGTAGATCAGCAGCAGGACGAGTTTTCAAAAGCACTCAGATGAAATTACAAGTCAGTCTCAAGTCTCATGTGTGGTGCCTCATGACATTGTAATTCACGCAATTCAGGGCTTAAGGATACCAGAGGCAGTCAGGGTGATGAAGCCACCTGACATAGTTCATTCCTCGTGGCTTTGGGGTCGATATCTTACATGTTATCTTCATTTGGGAGCATGTTTATGACATGAGAATCTTATTCATGTAATTTCGAATGAGTGTGAGATGTTTGGCTCATCGCACCACTCGCGTAGTTTTGTTCCTGAATATCGAGCCATGACTCCATGGTATCTGCCCCCAACGAGGCTGATTTCAACCAAACGAACGCTCAGTTGTATCTTCCGGCCATCGATGTTGAACAGGATCTCACGCGTGGATAGTAGTCTCATTTCTTATAGGATAGATAGCAATTATTGGTCAGGCACACATATGTGAAATTTGTTTGATAAGACAAGATACTGCAGAGCGGCCAATAGCGCTGTAATTATGACTTAATACTTGTTTGCAATGACTCCTTTGAGACTCCTTCAGGTATTGAACAAGTTTCCGTTTTGAAAGTTTTCATCTAAAGCTCTCAATCGTCATCGGGGTTGGGCGCTGAGGTCTGGTCAGGCTCGCTGTCATCTAAAGGCTGAACATTATGCGACTGAAGTCGAACGACTGAATGCAGTTAGCCAACAAGTCTCCAAAAAGGTATACCTCGTTCCGTCTCAACCCTATCATGGCAGATGAGACCTAGAAACGGGAGCATATCGTACGCACTTACCCTTCCTAGCACACTCACAAGCCTGCCCCTCGGTGAGTGAATTTTGATGCACCAGGGCCGTGGTTCCTTCAAAGAACAGTTGCTTTCCAAATCATCAGCAATTGGACCCGGATGACTCAGGCCGTAACTTACATAGACAAATGTTTCCATCTTCTCCAGCTCTAGTTCGAATCGCCGGACGATGGCCTCGTCGACGCTGCTGTTTTTGAGCTGTGTGATGAAGGCGGCCAGCTTCTGGGCATCGCCCTGGCTATACCGCGTCACACTACGAATGCTGTCGAGTACGACCTGTTTAGCGTGGATGTTGTCTCGCAAGTCGTGGAGGCATGTGTTGATTTGATCCTGGTCAAGTTCCCGGGAGGGATATCTCGGGCGGGCGATTCGGATAGGGCAGTAGCCGTGCATGATGACTCTCTGTGTGTTGACTAGGAGGCTACGTGAGTTGTTCTGGAGATCTGTTGGTGACTACTGATGCGCTGAATCCCACGATGCGAGAGATCCCCTATATACCGAAAGGTCCAAGGAAGAGGATTTGTCTCCGGGGTCTTTGGAGAAAGAGAAAGATGAGGCTCCGCTGCCCTGGTCGTCCTTACGATATTGCTCCTTTGTTCAAGGCTATCTTTTCATAAGCCGCGACTCTCAAAGTTGAGGTTCTTTGGCAGCAAGGACATCACCATCGACCTTTGATGAAACAAGGCAAAGGGTTGTCACTTGTCAATTTGACAACAGTTTCATTCGAAACATGAAGCAGAAGAACTACTATCAAACTCAGGGTTTACAGTTTCATCCGAGGACCTTAACAACCCTAGAGTGCAACCGGGAAGTCCCAGGAGCTGCTTGGTTCTCTATTTACCTTGATATGGCCAAAAGTTCTGCTTCCTGAGACTCTTTGCTGTGGATTCGTCGCATTGCGATTGCGATACAGCAACAACGAGAACTGAACAGTCAGAAACAATGAAAGCTTTGAATCATAAAAGACCACCATCATACAAAGACAACAATATGGAAGGTGACGGCATTATAGACACAAGGAGCACAACCAACCAGATTCTTGCATAATACAACCAGCGCTACAAAGAGTCCACGTGAATACGATATTCATTTTGAATGTAAGGGACTACCATTTTCCATAAGACCGCCTAACTTTCCTATGTCTGAGCGGCTATATTTCCTGTACACTTGATTACTCCTATAGAGAGCGAAAGTAGCGACAGCGACGATGAGGACGGGGACGAGGATAAAGACGACTATAACGATAACGACAATAACAGAAGCGACGACAACAACAACGAAAGTAAATAATTAGAGTATAGTCATAAGAAAAGTAGTCGCTCTAGCACAGGAAAAATAGGCGGTTGTTTTTCAATCTATTACACATTAATGGGTCTTTCCTCCAAGCGCTCCCACCCTTCTGCCACCTCTTCAAAATGGAATGGGAATATTTGAACGATCAAGCGAGTGAGGGTATTTCGAAACGATACTCCGTCCAGTCTATGCGCCTGTCCGCACAGTCAACTCCTGTTTCAAAAGAGTGTGCTCCCTTCTTCTAATGGAAATTTACGTTTTCGACCGTGTATCATCGGAGCGTCGAAATACTCGTGTCGTCCATGGCGACTTGATGCCACATGCGTCGGTGACTCCTTGATATGACTGGGCTCATCCTCGTCATTTGACACCGACAAGCCCTCACATCGGAGAATCCATATGTCATTTAGACAGCAGCCGTAGCGGAAGGTGCCGCCGGGGCAGCAGCGGCAGACTTCTCAGGGAAGTGTCCTCCCTGAGGAACGCGGCCGTACTGAGTAAAGTAGAGGTTCAAGGCGTTGTAGTCCCACTTCCTGGACAGCATGAGGAAGAGCACGGAGCCAAAGGGGATCATGAAAACGTCCAAGATGCCGAAGAAGATGAAGTGAGGGGTGACGCCAATCTTGTTGCCGCCCTCAGAGACACCAAAGGCGATGGGGTAGAGCAGCCACAGGAGGTTGAAGTAGCCGGCGAGAATGAGGTAGTCGCCCGTAGTACCGACGCGCTTGGCGCCGACGGTGCCCTCGGTGAAGGTCGAGGCGGCCATGGCGAGATAGGCGATGGTGCCGAAGACGAAGAAACCCCACTTGTAGACGGAGGGCGTATAGGCGGAAACGAGGTAGCTGATGACCCAGACCCAGGAGAGGAAGATGTGCCAGGCAATGGTGGCCCAGGAAGAGTTGGATACAAGGCCGAGGAGAATGTTGACGATGGGGAAAGAGACGACCCAGTTGATGTACTTGTTGAAGAAGATTTGGCGATCCGAGACGAGTGACCATCCCAGGTCGGAGGCATTCGAGAAGTAGGTGATTGCACCGACGAGCAGGGCGATGTTGAGGAGATAGTGAAAGATCTTCTCACCGCTTCTAGGCTTGAAGGATAGTGCGAAAACGCCGAGCTGCGGTCATGTTAGTGGGTTGTTGAGGTTTGCAGATTCATGTTGGCCGACTTACGAAGACGAAGGAGTAGATGGCCACGCAGGCCCAGAGCCAGTTTGAGCCGTTTAGACTGAGACGCTGCTCGACCGCAGGCGGCGGATTGATGTCGAGAGCCTCGTTTACGCGCTTTAGGAGAACACCCATGGCTGGTTGCGGTGGTAATTCTGCGGACAGCGTCTAGATTGAGCGGGATAAGAGAAGGACGGTTTATGTTGCTGTAAGATCCGAATGAGATTGGTTCTCACGGTGCTTGATGATGTTATGATGAGACAGAACAATGTGCGAAAGGCGGGAGAGGCGGAATGGTCTTATACTTTTCGTCGTGCAAAACTTCTCCCATCCTACAGGCACTGAAGTCACCATGAGGTTCCAGAACATGAAGCACACATCACTCCTGCAAGTTCACCGTCACATCAAACTCCGAACCCGCCGACATCTCCCTCCACCCGAAAAAAAAACCTACGATTCGAGGCCGAACTACAAGATCCCCCATCCAATGATCTAGGCGAGCAGCACAGGTCAAGGCCTCCCAGACGGATGAGACGGGCGGAAGCTAGGTGAACCATAGAAGGTTCCGTTACCGTCAGAAATCTGAGAAAGTCAGAAGACCTTCTGACTGAAGTCAGCCAAGGTCGGGGTCTGGATGCAACGGTCCTGCACGAGGGAAGAAGACGAAGTGGGCCATTGTGGGTTCCAACGAGAGGCCCGCTCCCAGGGCTGCCGGGGAGCGACCCTGGACCAGAGTCGTAGCTTGTTTATCGTTGTTCCAATCCAGTGCGTCCAGGTGTGAAGGTGCCGTGGGGAGGTGCGATGAGTCGATGATGGGACCAGAAGTGACAAGGGGTTTTGTGAGCGCCAGAGCCGCTTGCACCGGAGATATCCCGGTACTCACCTGCGGGAGTGCCTGACCATGACACCGAGAAGGGTGATGGCAGGAGTCAGGCAGTCAGGCTAGGCAAATTGTATCGTTACTTCATCTCAACCTTACGCAGTACACAGCAAAGGTCTCAATTCTTAGATGAAAGGCGTGGTCATAATCGAAAGCTAGTATTGAACGGTAGTTGTCGCAGAGGTGTGGCACGCCGGCTGTCGAGTACAAGCGCACCTTGGAACTTCATGACATGTAGGGGTCCTTGGATTGTCAATCAGACTTCAGACTACTTGCTTGGTAACTTGAGTTTTGAAGCCGACAGGAGGTCTAGTGTGTACCGTAGTAGTCATATTGCTTCGAAGTGTGGGGGACGAAACCAAATGCCGACCTATGGAGGTGAATGCACAGACGCACCGTTCGCCATTTGCCACCCAAGACAAGAGAGACGACCCTTGTCGCTACTCGGGAGTGACCTGATGTTCGTGACAACGGAAAGTGAGGGAAACCTTGCGATGGGAAAAACTGCAGAATGGCGCTTCCCGAGACCCAATTACTGCGCATTTCCCGCGTGGTTCGGCATTGGTGGGAGGTGCCGCTACAGGAAAGATTGATAATCCTAGAGGACAAATGAGAAAGATTTTCCAAGAGGAAGCTATGACATCGTTTTGATGCCACCCTGCATGCCAATCGCACGTGGTGCTCGGTATCCAAAGGATGACCCGCTCCGGGATCCCCGGCCGGCCTCAGCCGGCGGACGTTCGGGACTATCGGAACTAGCCCACGTCCTCTTTGTCCGATGACTAAAGGGTGCATTTTCTATACTCATACGATTCATTGCCCTCGGTCGGTGAACCAGCGGCGTCTGCCTCCATCTGAGACGAGGCTTCAAAGTTGAATTCTATGATGGGGGGTCGACGTTGCCTTCCACCATGTCACCTCACGAAACTCGTCCCACCACTGCCACCCACCAATAGTCTCTCATTCCCCTCTGGCCTGGACACTGATTGTTTAATTGCCTTGTAACATGCGACCTCGAGCTCAGAGCCCTCGAGTCAACACATAAAAGTTTCAAGATGATAGCGGGGTATCAACGAACCCAAGAGAGTCTGTCAGATGAAGGTATCGCGGCGCACCTTCAAGCCAAACCATCTCTATCTCGCGCGCTTATTCATTTCTTGTAACCGGGTAGCACACGGGAAGCTACACCACCAAGCGCCATGGCGGCCGGTAGTTGGGACGCAGCGAGCGAGGCACCACAGATTCAGCAGGCGGTTTCTCGATGAGTCGCTCCTCGTTCACATGCAACCATCCCTGTCTGTGATGGGAGGTCCACACCCTCACGTCATGCCACCAAGACCCCTGCGCACCCCGAACGACGACCCTGCCGTCGATCGTTGGCCCGGTTTGGACCCTTGCACATGCAGCGGCGCCCACTGAACCTCTGGTGGATCCCCCACCCAACGGCTCGAATCCCACTACCGAAACTTCTTGGTTGTCGGCGGGCTTTTCCAGAGCTTTCTTCTCTAGATCCTCTCGTGATCCTCAGATCATATGGAGATGAACTTATCCGGGGCTTCCGGCACACCGATCGTCGAATAGCATCTTGTCACCAGTGGCAGCTTGGGTAGCTAACAGCGATTATTAGCATACACATCGGCTGATATGCTCAATGAACGTCTCTCGGCAGTCACCGAAGGGACCACGAAGTATATCTTGCAATTCTATGGTCTCGGAGTTGTTGGTCAGAGAACTCCTTCACCTACGGGCGTTGACGTCCGAAACTCCGCTACCAAGTGAGACAGCAGCCGAGATCCTCCGCAAGACGTAACCTCGCCGTATGCAGTAAGATGAGTAAGAACTCAATCCACCCGCACCCAACGTCTCTCGGAGAATTGTTTTCTGAGACTTTCTGATGTAGATTTGGATAGCTCGTCAAAATGACGAAGAAACTCCGAGATACGCAGCAGGGCTGGGGCATGGATACTAAATTTCATTACCCTACCCTGTCTTCGTGAACATACTATGCAGTACCAGTACGTGGGAAGGAAATCTCTTGGTAGCAACCACCTCAAACTCAAGCGAACGTCAGGATATAAGGCTTATGTCCTGTGGCACGTCTGACAACAACGTCAGCAACAAGTTCACGTTCCTTAGTGGTCGAAGATGGTCTCATCTCAGTGCTGAGAGTGACTGACGAAAGGCACCAGTTATCCTACACCATGGACCGAGGAATGTTTGCAGAATCCGAAGTATGCCTGTGCTTCATTCATCATGTACTGTTGTACCGTATACAGTATCCCTGCAGCAAAAATCTCCATGTACAGTCTATCGTACATTCATATGAATCGGCCGATCCAACACCCTTTCCTACTTCTAATAACTGCTGACCTGCTTCATTTGCCAAACAGCGCTCTTAGCCCTTTCCCTCACGTCTAGTTCACAGTCGTCCTCTAAGCCCTCAAGTTTGGTAAGGAAACCTAATTTCTTCAGCTCGTAAGCTCTCTGCGCGCATGCGCGCGCATCGCTCTCATCATCCTGCCATGTCAGGTTGCTGATCAGATGGCAGAGAGCCACCCGTACTTCCTTGTCCTTGCTGTTAAAATGGTTCGCAAGGAGTTTGAGCAGATCTGTCTGGGCGATCACCAGCTGCCGATGCTTTGGGATACTCGCAGCCATATGAACCAGAATGAATACAACTGCTTCGATGATCTTTGCCTGAGGGTAGAGCACTCGGGCCTCGCGTCCCGCGGCAGATCCTACCGCGCGTCTCGACGTGGGATGGAGGACCTTAGCCTGAAGTTTTCTGGCCAGTATGTCGAAGAACCTGTCCTGCCCAAGCTCGCTGAACAGGTAGTCAATCATCTCCGTGGTCTCGTTCGCCGACTCTGTGCTAGAGCCAGAACCAGCCGCCCCGATCAGGTTTCTGATGAAATCAAGTCCCTGCTCCTGGATGGCGAGATCGTCATTCCGTGCTTTTCTGAGTGGGTTGAGTTCAGCCTCGCGCAAGGCTGCTAGCCTGGCTTCTGTTTGCCGGAACTTAGCGGGACGCTTCCCATCCACGTCTTGTGGTGGGATGCTGGAGCTCAACCAAGACCGAGATAATGAATCCGGCTGATCCATCTCCACATCGCCGTCCATGTCGTCGCCGACGTCTATAGCATTCTGCTTGTCCATCTTTGACCTCGCGAGGAACAGTGCATCGTCCTCGGTATCATCGCAAATGAGCTGCACGAGCCAACCGGATTCAAGCTCCTCTAGACATTGCTTTTTGGTCTCGGGATCAACGGCATGGACGAAGTGCTTCAATGCCCATAGAGCGTTGAGTCGTAACGCAGCGTTGAGCGAGTGTGCGTGCTCACACAATATTTTCATTACGCCCTTGTCGGCCAGGACCTAGAACGACCATTAACACCGACCTTCTTAAATGTTTCGGCTTGCAACTTACTTCTCTCATTGGACTCACTTCGGTGACCAAATTGCAAATCGCAGCGGTTGCAGCAATTTGGACGTCCACGTTCGGGTGCCTGAGGAAACGGTATAGGGGGACGGCGACTGCGTAATCGACCAGGGAAGTCCTCAAAATACTCACGGAACGCGACAGCATTCTGACTGCATGACAGCCAGCAATCAGCACAGACAGGGGATTGCTTCCGTATCCAGAGTTATGATCTGATGCAGAGGCGTCGGGTACAAGTCCATCTGGCTCGCTATTCTTCGAACGATCCTTTGGATTTGAGGGCTTTCCAGGTGTCGGCGAAAGCGACTGAACAATATGGGCTACGACGTCCTGTTCAACAAAGGCTTTGCGATACTCGTCCTTGCCCGCCGCAAGTGCTCCAATCGCCTTGAGTGCGCTTTCACGCATTCTTACTTTGTGCGCCAGGAGCGGAGGTTGTCCTTCTGGCCCTAGGGCACACGTCGGATAGGTACTTTCCAAGTCCATGCCCGTGTCCGCCTGGGGTGACCATAACTTAGCGTACGCTGACGGTGGAATCGGCTCATACGCATCTTTCAGAAGCTTGCTGAAGGACTTGACAGCGCCGCAATCATAGGCCGCTTTCTGGAGGTGTTCGCTATCCGTGATCATGCGAGCCAGTATCGCCGGTGTCCGCTCCAGGATCGTCCATTTCATAGCCGTGTCCGCGTCAACCAAAGGAGACATAACCACTGGTGGCGATGCCTGAAGTTGATCTAGCATGTCCATAAGCACAGGGACCACGAGGAGGCCGAGACTGGTTTCTCTTAGATGCTTGCTGCCAAAACCGGATCTGAAGAGCGTTGTCAGAAGGTTGGCGGCCATCAATCGTTCCACGTTCTGACGTGTCCTGACCAAGAGAATGAGCCATGGGATGAGTGGAGTCTCCTGATCCTCCTCGGGTTCACCTTCGTTGCCAAACAGCTCAAACCGTGAAGCCTCCCAAACTGACGCAGTTGAACTGTACTTGCTCGCCGCAGAGCGGGCGCGCTCTCGGGCATCGGAAACTCCCAGAGAGGGAAAACGTGACTGCTGAGAGCCAGAGAGTCGCCCCTGGAGTATTGGAATAGCAGGAAGGAGATAATCCATAGCACTAAGACTTTGCTGGCGCGCATACCCGAGGCCGCCGATTTCGAGCGAGTTCCAAGGAGCTCGAATCTCCTTGGACGGTGTGAATTTCAGAGACGGGAAAATAGCCATAATGGCCGGAGAGCACAAAAGCATACAAGCCCTGAAGCGTGAGTCCGAAATGATGGTAGCTAAAGCCTCCAAGATAGGTACCAAATTAGAAGTCGAAGGTTCCGGTTCGGGGAAGAAATCAGACGTGTGATCCACTCGCCCGAATACTTCAGCGTATGGAATAACATGCCCTTGGCCAACAGCGATACTCGCCAGTCTTGTTGCGAGTGAGTCGAGAACATCAGAATTCGCCAGGGCAAGCTGATGCCTCTCCTCTCGACAAAGTTTACTGATTATGTTCGCTACCAACGCGATCTGGGTCTGTTGTGCCGCGGTGTTAGACGCGCCTGACAATATCGCATTCAAAGACTCGATGTGTTCGGGCGCAAAGACGGCCTCGGCCAAGGCCTGTGTATCCACTGGCGAGTCGGGCGTTGCAAGTGCAGAAGACTCGACGATGTTGAGCAGCGCGCGGAGGGCCGTGGTAACGAGCAAGGGAGCATTCGAAATCGGGCAGACGTTCGCTAGCAAAGCAGGTAGGGCACCGGCAGCCAGGATTGGCTCGACAAACGCAGTTCCTCCTGAAAACATTCAAGTTAGCATGCGATTAGAAGAAGATCGTGTCAGGACGAAAACGCACCATTGGCGAAGCTTGCCAGAAGCTGGAGAGCCTGGAACCTTACGGTCTCCTCCTCACTTATCGATCGCGGGCTGGCATGGGGGGCACCGTCCTTGCCATTCACCTTGGCTGGTGACCGGGCAGCATTGAGTATCTTGACGATGGGTTCCAACACGCCGCGCCGAGCCCACTGCTCCTTCTTTTGCGCATGGCCAACAATGTCATTCTTGAGGGCCCGCAGCGCACTTGTCTGTTCGATATAGCTCCTCGCGCTGAGGATCTGGGAAAGAATCGGAGGACTCGAGGACCGGGCCATGATGGAAGAACTTGGTGATGATGTGGGGAAAGGACCTCGGCTCTCTGCTGTCAACTTCAACCAGCACGTCGTGTGCTTGCAAGGACGAAGTGGTGCGGCGGCGACGGAGCTTGCGTCAGAGGCCAAGGTCCATGCAAATGGTCGAGTGTCAAGCAGAAGCGGTTTGAGCTTCGCACAGCGTTGCCAAGCGTTTTCTCAGAGCGCCTAGAAATGCAATAATCGATGATGTCCTCGAACGGAGGGGAGGGGATGTCGTGAGAGAGTCGTTGGCAGTGGTTACTCAAGATGCAGATGAGCCGGGAAGTCGCCCGCAAGATGGACCACGATTAATCACGTCAAGGTCGATAGGTATCGGTAGGCTGGGAGACTGACTGAGTACCAGTGCCAGTTGGCGGCACCGGGGATGGCCAAGGCACGTGCACTCACTGTACATCGCAACCAACCGTTTTCAGAATCCTCACATGCTAGCTGAAGCTTGGGGCAGCGTGGCAGCGTTGGTCAACACCGGTCAATCGTCAATGCAACGATTCCTGCCACCACCTTTCGACTCATACCGGATCGGCGCTAATGGAGCATGATTCTCAGAACGAACTTGCAGGAGGTTGGAAGCTTATGGGGATTTCATCTTGACAATATGCACCCTCTCGCAAGCTCCATTGAACCACGACTTTTATTAGATGTTGTATGCAGTCCCCAATCTGTCTCACTCTTGAAGTGTCTATCCACTGTTATGATTCACACAGAGAATGTTTCCGGAAGAAGACGAATTAAAGTTTACTGGCACTGCCCCAACTGCCCAGAGTGAGTAGGCCAATATAAATGAGCAAAAAGTTTCGAGGGCCATCACGTGATGGAGTTGTGTCCTGTCGTCCTCATTGGCGCAATCGGTTTAGCGCGTCCGACTTTTACGGCTGATTCTAGGTCGGTGAAATCGGAAGGTTGTGGGTTCGAGTCCCACATGAGGAGAACACGTTTCTTTTTGTGTGTTTAACAGCTGTCATCTTGAAAGCTTTTGCTCCTTTTTGCCTGGTTTTGGTTCTCTCTTCTCTCAATAGTTAATCAGCCTCGAAATATGATCTCATTTAATGAGCACATATAGCGTAGAGAGGTTATTTAAGTTCTAGTAGCAGACACGCAGTTCAGATGAGAAAAGTGTGAGGAGCGATTTGTTATCAAGCCCTCAGCGGAAGCTAAGTCGCACAATACAACGGTTACCGCGATGCGTCTTCCTGGTGCAGAGAGCAGAAGTCGATGGCCAATATAGTTTGTGAGCCGCGCTGGTAAGCGTGGCCCTTTACGAGGCACTGTTCAACCCACGCGGAACGGAACGAGTAATTAACTTCCACACAGCGGAGTTGCCAATTCCTCTAGGTGTGTGAGACTATGAGAAGCAGCGCTGGAGCGGGGCATTCCACAGCATCGGATGTTGTGTGGCTAGTCTCATTGAGACAACCTGGTCTGGACGTTGTCAGGGTTCCGTCATCGTGAGAAAAGAGAAATATCGAGCCTCTGTGTCACTGAATAGCGCGTGTGCAATATGCTACTGCGTACAAGCCGTTCACTTGAGCGGGCAGACGCGTTGGCCGCCGCTTAACTAAGGTCAAGCAGATTGAGAGTAGGTAAAGTTGTTCTCGGGTCCCATCGTGTCACCCGAGGCGGCGCATCGCGGCACTCAGCCAAAAGCACCGGGATATCTGACGCAAGATAACTGACATCTGACGACTTTACAGTGATTTTGGGACCAGGGACTCCGTGACAGCGGCAAGCAAAGCTGGGGCATCGGAGATCAGCAGCAGGGGTGTACATGATAAGGAGAAAGCGCGAAAAAATCGCAGCGGCAGCTGACGGCACGTTGTGTCGGTGAGGGTTCCCATACGTTCAGTCGGGTCTCCCTTACCACAGGGCAGATACGAAGAGGAAGAAGTTTAATCCAGAGAGATTCTCCTCCATGGAACCTTATGTCAATGCAGATGGACGTATAATAGAATGCACAGTGTTATTGTATTAGTAAGGTACCTTGACTGGCATCTTGTTGTGCCCCAGGTAGAGAACATTAGACAACTTCTTCTGTTGTTCGAGGAAGGTGAGAAGAAAAGGGCAAAGAAGATTGAGCCTCCCAAACGGCGCTTCCGGCTCCAGACCAGGCATCGCAAGCAGCCAGAACCTTGTCAGCACCTGGCCGGGAGGCTGTAGAAGGGTTGCACCGCTGGCCTAAAAGCGACTTTAGCGGCGTCTCTCGGTGTCCAGAACCAGAAGGGCGGCCCACCATTATGGCTTCAGTGCAAAAATGGTACAATCAGCGGCCCTCAAAAATTAGAGAAAAAATCCTCAGAGGTGTCTTTTACCTCAATTGTCCCCTCCCCCTTCCCCCCTCTTCCATGCTGCATGGCGCAGATAAGTAGGTACTACCTAAGGTGCCCAAGGCAGCGAATACCAGTAGCACCACTGGCACGTTTTTGCGTGTCCAGGTGTCAAATCCCCCCACCAAACCCACCACAGACGACTGGTTGGCACCAGAGGCGTCAATGTAAGTCTTGGCTCCGGTGCCGAGACCGCAGAAAATCAGATTCGCGCGTCCTCCTCCTCCACACATGGCATGCCAATCCCACTGACTGACGGCGACCAGTCCAGTTTCCCGACATTTGGGGCCTTGCCTCACTGTTCCACTGGTACCTTGCCTGTTACTGCTGGTGCCGAATGCCGTCGACACCTAAGGGATCTTAGCTGCCTCTGATGGTCTGAACCATTCACGCGATTCAATCCAGTGCATCCGCGGAACCTGGATCTGGAACCCAATGAACCACCAAACTACCTACCGCGGCGGCGAATACCAAGCGTCGACTACTTACTAAACCATCCCAGTTCCATGTGGGCAAACGATGCGCCCCTCGTCCCGATTTTTCGACGTGTGGTAATCTGATCTTGGCTTTGACAATCCGCAAATCTGAGCCGACCCCAGCCAAACCTATCCAACCCAGCCCGTTAAACTATCAACCTAACCTTACCTACCTTACCTTCCTACCACTGGCGAACACACCCCCTCGGCCTGCCTCCTCAGTATCCATCGACTGGCGACTACGGCTGTCGACCCTCGCCCGCCCGCTTCTTCGACCCACGATGCGCCCGAGACCATGTTGACAACATCTCCCATCGTGGCCAGCTCCGCCAATGCGTCGCCCAGCAGCTTTCATTATGCCCCTACGCGCTCCTCCCCGCACTCGTCTCCTGCCCGGCTTTCGGCCCCTTTGCCGCGGCGGCACTCTGCATCCAGATCCTCCCCGTCCACCTCAATGACCTCACCCTCCCAACCACGCCCACGACAATATGTAGCTGTCGATGCCGGCACTCAATACTCTCCCATGGAGTCTCCGAATCACCAGCCCCAGGCACACCCGACAGAAGATGTCGCCGATGCCCCGCGCACCTCAGTGCCCGCCACGCCCGCCGAACCCCCACCAGCGCCGCGTCCTCAACCGATAGACCCTTCCGCGTCTCTGCCGCGACCCCAACCTCAGCCGACAACGCAAACGCAGACTGTCGTGCCTCCTGCCGTACGGCAGTCATCAGTCACCATTGCCTCACCTGGCAAGCGACGGAACTCCCAAGACCCCGCCATCGCGCAAGCGAGCGCATCCGGCGCCGGCGAATCTTCGAGCGCGGCTAAGCGCCCCAAGCCAACAGCTGGGCCGGCCAAGGTACTGCCGCTGCGGTATGAGCTGTGCGGTGTCGAGGATATGGTTGTATTGATATCACACATGCTATCTGAACTCATCGAGACCAATGACGCCCTGGCTCTTCGCTCTGGCAGCCTGACTCGGTTCCACTCGAGGTAAGCAAAAAAAGGCGCTTCCTATCCTTTTGATATCTATGTATGCTTACTGATATGGTGCGCAGGACGACACCGAGCATTTCTGTACTTGACTACCTGAACAGACTAGCGAAACACGCGACACTGACACCGCCGCTGCTGCTGTCCATGGTCTACTACATTGATCGACTATGTGCCTTATATCCAGAATTCACCATCAACACGCTCACTGTACATCGCTTCCTGATTACGGCGGCCACAGTCGCGGCCAAGGGCTTATCGGACTTGTTCTGGAACAACACTACATATGCGCGAGTGGGAGGCGTTAGGGTCGCCGAACTCAAGCTGCTGGAACTAGAGTTTCTTTACAGGGTAGACTGGAAGATCGTCCCAAACCCCGAAGTACTCGTCGCATACTATCGGGGCCTGGTTGAACGCTGCCCCGGGTATGCTCTGCAGGATGAGGATGCGGTCGTCGAGGATGAAGACTCTGACGAGGTTGACGACGAGGATGGGTCAACCGAAATTTCAGATGGCGGCGGTGACGACAGTGGGGACTCGCCCGATGATGAGAGCCCCGCGAAGTCGCCGCCGCCCGACGCAGCAGGTGCGGCATCGTAAGCTGCTTACGGGATGTCGGGGGTTCTGATCTACAACATGAGGCGTGGTTTTCTTTGGTTGTTCCTTTAAAAAGGGGTGGGCAGCTGCCCTTAGAGGCATAGCAAAGTGGCGTTTGGACAGGCGGTATCATTTTAACGCTCAATGAGTGATAGCGGTAATGAAATACCACACTTTTCTGATTTCATATGAGAATGCTTGGGGCGTGTCGAATTCTTCAGATTGTGCATGGGACTGCTTTCCCGTGGTATTTCTTAAAATATTCCCCGTGTCTTGGCCACAAATTCGATGCGGCCATCGGTCGTTCATCTAGGTGCATTTCTGTGCTGCGTTAGGTAGCGTAAATCTGCCGGACTAATCCCGCATCCGAAGCTGGGTCCCCCGGAACCTCTCCTCCAACAACCCCCGTCTCCTTCAATCAGCGCCATCACCCAGGCCACCGAATCCGACGACTGAACGGGTGCAGAGAAACCGAAAAATCATGCGCGCGACATCGTTCCTGTCGGCGCTCTTCGCGGTGACCCTCGCCGCCGCAGCTGAGGCGCGCCTCGCCAAGATCTACGTCGAGCCAGTCTCTCTCGCCGCGAGCAAGTCGCCCTCCTTCCTCGCCGAGGTCGAATACGACGCAAAGCAACCCGCCGAGGCGACCGTCTCGTCTTTCGAGTTTCCCGAGCTGCCCGAGGACGGCGCGAAGCTCGTGCGCGTAGGCGTCTACGATACCGCGACGAAGCAATGGACGTCCTCCGTGTCGGTGGCCTCGACGGAGAACTTTGCCAAGGGTTACCAGCCCAACATCCTCCTGAGCGTGGACGCTGAGGGCAACGTGGTTGGAGCGGGCTTGAAGGGCGTCAGGATCGATGCGGGCGCGACGAGGGACTTCGGGCCGCAGGCTGTTGTTCGGGTTACGGGACAGGGCAAGACACCGGAGCTGAATAAGCCTGTTGTACTGAGTCCTGAGGGAAGGAAGGTCGTCCAAGAGGAGAAGACCCTCTTCCAAAAGTATACCATTCCTCACAATCGGGTGTTCTTGAGCTTAAGGCTAACGTCGGCACAGGTACTGGTGGCTGATTGCGATCGTTGTCCTCATGACGGTCACGGGCGGCGGCGATGGAAAATAGACGACGATATAGAGGATGGCAGCATTGATGAATACCCATTAATTGATGTTTTATTACTGCATTAGACCGCGAGGTCTGTTCACGCGAAGCTGTGCTTAGGTGTCCCGGCGGTGTTCTCACCCGATTCGAATCCTTAACCTCCCCCCTTCTGTCACTGTAAACTGGCTGACTTGACGCATCGGCGGGTGCAGAAGGTATCCTTCTTCCTAAGTCTAGCGGTGTACTCTTATCGGGAACCTTGGACTCAGAGCCCAGGCTATAGAGACTTGCGTGCACTAAATATGGGGACGTCTACAAGTCCAATTGCCAATGATTGGACAGGAAACAGAGCTTTAATCCTGTCTGATGCCGCATCTCATATCGATCGCTCAGCCTGGAGCCTTCAGTTGACAGCCTATCGCAAGCCTTCTATCGCCTTCCGTCTTCCAGACAGCTCTGACAGGGACTGACACGGCACGTGTGGTATGGCTTTTGTGGCGCTAATCCTGGCCGGGACTAGCGCCGCTGCTAAGAGACATGCAAACCACTGCTAAAAGCTGGGACCTGCTGGGGAAGGTACGATCGAATTGATAAAATCCGCCGCCTACCTTACCTTGACCGGCGCAGCTTCACCTCCACTTTCCATCTACACCCACGCTATCCCACCCGATTCTTTCCACAACCGCAACACTTACGTTAGGTCAACGGCAATCGCCTTTTCGTCGCCTAAGCTTTACTTGACAATCTTCCCTCTCTAACACTTTCAAACAAACACAATGGCCGCCGAGAACTCCGTCACCGACCCTACCACCGAGCTCGAGAACAAGGGCAAGGGCAAGGCCGTCGCCAGCGAGGAGCCCGTCGAGCAGAGCGAGGCCATGGACGAGGATGATGACTCTAGCGAAGAGGAGGAGGCTAACGAGGTACTTACTTCCCAATCCTCCCCCTCAGTGTATGCGCGCAAGCTAACGTTTTAAAAAAAAACAGACCGCTGAGCCTGGTAAGAGCTGATTACCGCGTCGCCTACAGCGCAAGACTCTTCCCACGACCACGACTAACGATTGGGTTTACAGTTGACGAGGACGATGGTATGGACGAGATCGACCTGAACAACATCGTTGAGGGTGGTCGCCGCACCCGCGGCCGTGTCATCGACTTCGCCAAGGCCGCCGAGGAGAACCCTGCCGACGACGAGGACGACGAGGAGGACGATGACTTCCAGGCGCCTGCCGACGACTCCAAGATGGAGGAGGACTAAGCGATTCCTCGCCACGCCTCGACTCGTCTTGCTTGCAGCCACCAACACACAAGGTGGCACGGTTACGGTTATGGAAACGAACAGCACATCAGAAAACGGAATGGGGGGTTATACAAAAGTTTTACGTGGGCTTAAGGGTTTTCTCGCTTTTGATGACGGCGTGTCCGGTGATTGGACACATGCAGCAGGCAACGGTGGATGGATATTGCCCGTTTGGACGGCGTTTAGAGACGAGTTGGTCTGCTGTCTCGCCCGCCCAGGGGACCTCAGGTGGGATGGAATGTCTCTTATCCTACCTACGCTGCTCTGCCCGCGGGCGTCAATACCCCGACCATGAGTGCTATGGAAACGAATACATGCAAACACTGTACGGCCATGTGCGAAGTAGACGTGATCAGATCAACAGTGATGCTAGTAGTCAATGCTGGTGTGAAGGAGGTAACCGGCGTTATGCGTTGATGCAGGTCCCAGTAGCCGTCCCTCGCAGCAGTTTTTCATTAGCTGTCCAACGGGGATTTATCCACATGAAAGCTGCCAGCTCGATCGCTGATTCATGCATGAAGCGGCCTAGATCCGATCGAGGGACCAGCACTGCCTTGGCAAATGGCAAGTACGTAGTCACGTAGCTTTCCTTTCTGCGAATAATTCTGCAAGGCACCGCAAAGCAGACAGGACGAACCGATTCATCCTTTGCAGGTCGAGTTTGGCACAGCTGACGGGACGGACCATTAAGACGTATTTCTAAGCTCTAGGGTCGTCGGGACCCGACGAAACGCGGTGCGGCCACTTGCGCTAGAACCACTTCAACATCTTGGACGAGTGCTGCTGAATGTAGGCAGCGGGGGGAAGCTGGCCGGTGTCAGACGGCGTGCAATTTAGGGGACTTTACCACAGACGGCGGTTCAAGGAACCCGCCCGCCGCTTGCACGTTCTGGCCCTTCCGCCATCTTTTAGGTTATTGTCACTGCTTTCGATTGGACAACGGGACGACACGTACAAGAGCCTGGAAAGCACTTACGTTTTGCCTCCGAGAACAGGACCTCTCGCAGCAGGACAAATAGGTCGCATCCAAATTGACCACCTTACACGCCTGCTTATTTCTCCGTTCCCACGACGGTTTCTTACAACTGAACATACTTGAGCCACTCATCTCCCTCGTCGATCTCGATTCCACGACCCGGGCCATCTCTCGTCATATTTCCCCTTTCCCACACATTAGCTTGCCTTTCTCAACAGGGGTGTTGACGGACCAAGAGAAAAGCCAAAGACGTCAGTGGACAGGACTGCCGCTACGGAAGTCTTGCCAAATAAAATTAAAGATCGCCCAGCCGTCATAGACATACCCCGGCACGCACCGAAGCGACGACCCAGGCCGACCGGGCCCTTCGACATAGCAACGACCAGCCTTTTTTTCTTCGACGGCTGGAAGACGCGGGCAAGGACTTCTTGAATTTTTCCCCTTGTTTGACACAAGACACCCCTTTTGGCATTCCGCCTAGAGACAACCCGCGATCCGAACGACGGCGCCCGGATTTCCGTGTTGCGCGCGCGACACATAGGTTTCCAGTAGCTTAGGGGGTCCTCTGGACACGCCGCGACAAGGCGACGGTTTGGACACCATGGCTTCAAGGTTAGTACCTAACGGTTGATACATCTGCGCCCCTTGCTTCGTACCCTGGCATCACGAGCTTGCGCATACATCTCGAGGTCATCTCTTCTGCTTCGGAATCGTTCTGGCGGCCGTCATGGTTCGAGTCCGTCAGCCGAAGCGTTGCGGATGAGACAATGGCGCCTCCCCCCACCAACGTCCTTCAGATCGCCAGACGAGCATGTCACGATGCGACTGCGAAGACCGCCATGGATCACCTACAACACGAAAGAACGTTGATCGAGCTTCTGCTAATGTTCATGCGTGAATGACAGATTCGGCGCGTCCTCGCTCCACCAGCGCGACTCCCGCAGCGCCTTGTTCGAGGGCTACACCGGCGACAACGCAAGGAGGCCAGTCAGCGCCTCGCCATCGCGTCTTGGCGGGTATGGCTATGGCTACGCCGGCGGTAGTGCCTCCCCCGCGCCCACGGGGAGCCACCTCGGCGTCGACAACGGCGCCCGGGGGTTCCGCCCGGCGACGCCCAACTCGAGGTACGCTCCCTCCAACGCCGATTGCATGACGGCGGACGCTCCGGAAGCAGGACCGATTTGCTGATGGATGTTCATTAGGGGTCAATACAGCGATGCAGTCCTCAACGAGCTCGAGAGCCAGAACGATGAGCAGGTGGAGGGCATCATGGGCAAGGTCAAGATGCTGAAGAGTGTACGTGACATCCTGGCGACAGCCTCCGGCCGGCGCGTCGTGAATTACAAGCCGCAAGACGGTGAACCGGCAGATGCGAGACCAGCCGCTGACGAGACCCTTTAGATGACGGTAGCCATTGGTGACGAGATCCGCGAATCCTCCGCCCTCGCCGAGAAGATGAACGACACCTTCGACTCGACCCGGCTGCGCCTTCGCGGCACCATGAACCGCATGCTGGTCATGGCTCAGCGCACCGGCGTGGGCTGGAAGGTCTGGCTCGGCTTCTTCGCTGCTGTCTGCTTCCTCTTCATGTACGTGTGGCTATTCTAAAACTTGAAAGAGTTGGGAATACCACACCCCCCTTATGGGTCACGGTGTGAGGGCTTGACAAAGGCCAATGAGTTGACCTTGAAAAATGGCATGCTCAGAGACGAAGTTACGGCAAGCGGGAGGAGTTTTGCGAGAGAGACGTTCGGATTACAACCCTGGTCCACAAGGGCACAGGAAATGGCGTCTTTTCTCGCGAGGTTGTGCTTGATCTTGCATTGCCCAGGGTCGGCCGCGACTGATTGATCTCGCATCGCTCGGCGTTACTAGGAGTACTTCATTCACAGGCTCTCGTATATCTCAACCTGTTTATATTCATCACAGGCACGCAAAGATTGGAAATTGCGAGCAAGAGCGATGCATTTGAATCACTGCCGATGAGAGACGCGACGAAGAGAAGAACCCCCCCAAAACGGCAGGCCTTTTGTGTGTCTTGCATGTGTCTACGTTTGAAAGGACGGGAAACGAAATGAAGGAGTTTGTTGCCTTTGGCCAGTATAATACACACTTTTTGTAATAACGGGGTATACCGACTAATGCTACCACTTTTTCTGCCGCCCCTCGATAGAGCAGGTTCGTTTTGTTTGTCGGACTTTGTAACTGATACATTACTGTGTCTCCTCCATCCCCGTGATAGGATTGTGAAGAAAGGGGGAGGATTTCTATAAATGAACATCCACTTCTTGCTCCGTTCGCCTCGTCGTTCGTCGCCATCCGTGATGTGAATAGCTTCGTTGTGTTTCAAAGGGTATCTATCGTTCATGAATCTGTCCTATTCGTCCGTCTTCCCCAGCCTGCAATGTAGGAACGCATCTAACGCCTCTGGGCCCTGACGTTGGGACTGCTATGCAACATGCTGCTGTCCATCATGCTGCTGTCCGCAGACAGCAGCCCGCTCAGATCCATGCTGCTCCTGGGCCCGCGCTCCCTCGTTGGGCTCAGCGGCGCCCTCAACGGCGCGGCAACCCTCGGCGCGAAGCTGATGTCCCCGTCGTCCTCCTCCTCGTCGCTGCTGGCCCCGCCGCGTCCGTCGTCGCTGCTGCTGCTCAGGTTCACCTCGGAATCGGTCTGCTCGTACACACCGCTGAGCTCGCCCGCCTCGGGGATGTCGTCGTCCAGGTCCGCGTCCATGTCCATGCCCATGCCCATGCCCATGCCCATGTCGTCCTCGTCGCCGGCCGCCAGGAGGTCTTCCTCGTCGAGCATGCGGCCCCCGCCCTCGGCCTCGAGCTCCTCCTCGCCGCCGTAGATGTCCTCGCCATCCGCGTCACCACGGGCCATGGCTTGCCGGTACGCATCATCCGCCATGCGCATGCGCGCCTCGACGAGGTCCTCCCGTCTTTCCTCCTCGTCTTCGTCCCCGCCGCCGCTCTCGCCGGGGCCTTGCGTGGTATCGTCGTCATCCTCCTCCTCAGAAGCTTCCTCGACGCTGCTCGTCATTCCGCTAAGACCATCCTCGTCAGAGTCCTCTCCGCCGTCGAAGCCGAAACTGCCGTCCGCGTCGGGGATCTCGTCATCCAAGTCGCGCGGCTCGTCGTCGCCGTCGGGAACCTCGGCGTCCAGGTCCGGACCGAGGTCGTCCCCGCCATCCTCAAGCACATCCTGCCCCGCACCGCCGGCCTCGGCGAGCTCCTGCACGAGCGCCTCGCGACGCATGGCCTCGGCGTGCTCTTTCTGCTCCTTCTCCTCCTCGCGCATCTGGTGCAGCGTCTTGGGGATGCCGGGGGGCTTGAGCCAGCCGCTGCCAAAGTTGCGCACGTTCAGCCTGCGCCGGTCCATATACTGCTCGTCGGCGCGTAGGCGCGCGAGGGCGGAGCGCTCGATGAGGAGCTGGCCCGCGCGGCGGGATGACGAGCCATGTTGTTGTGCTTGCTGCTGCTGCTGCTGCTGCTGTTGTTGTTGGGTCTGCTCGCCCGACTGTTCGTGGGCTTCGAGGAGGGCGGCCTGGGCCAGAGGGTTGCGGGACGAGGTGTACCAGATGGAATGCGACTGTTTTGGTTGTCCTCGCGTTAGAAGACGTCACGATGGCGGGGTACCCTTTGAAAGCTTGGTAGGGGGGGGGGCTTACATCTCGTGGTGTCAGGTCGGGTAGGAGGCCGAACATGATGGATACTTTTCTGACCGGCGGGAGGGCGGTCGAGTGTATGTAGGTTGGGTTCGCCTAGGTTCGTCAACGTCGTTGTGTGCGGGTATCACACATGATCAGGTGCTGTTGAAAGCGAGCTGTCTCCCCTATTGCGTAGCTATACCTAGCTGCAGGCACGCCAGAGTGGTTGCGAGTGTAAACATTTGACAGAGTACGTACTGGCAGCAGCGACGGGGGTTAGGGGACTTACCCCACACTCGCAGACGCGCCGCGCCTAGCGCGCTTGATCCCTGTCGCAAGAGTTCACGATGCTTCACTGTGGGCGGCAGAAAATGTGGTTAACTACGTATTTATTCAACGACATCCCGTCTCGTCACACGCGGTCTTCACGATGTCTCAACGCGCACGACGAGGTGTGTGTGGCACAAGCCTGGGGAAAGTCGTGTCCCCGCCCCTCCTACAACAGCAGCAGCTGCCAGCAGACAAACAGTCGGTCAAAAGGGTGCATCGGCCGTCGCCCACCGCCAAATTGCTCTCGCCTCAATTTCTGACCGAGGCGTCGAGCCTGTCTGCTCTGCCCTGGCCTGGATGCCAGGTTTCACTGAGAGTGAAGTTTCCGTGGTTACCCACGGCGCCTACGTCTCCTTGGGTTCCAATATTTCTAGTTTTTGTGAGGTAACAAAAACAAGGTCCGGTACCGCTGCCGCCTGGCTCCCGCCTCCCGCCACGGCCCACGAATGCTGCGTTTCTCTCGCATTCTCGACCCATCCGCAGCGGACGGGGAAACGAGGACCAAACGCTCCCTCGCGCCCCGCGACGGACGCTCTGATGTGTCTCATCGGGAAAAGTCGGAACCACCGCTGACATCGGAGTTATTGGCATTGGTTGTGTGTGCTCTAGTGGAGGTTTCAAATGCCATATTTCCGCAAAGTGGGATCTCTTCCCCTTCCTTGCGCGGCCTTGGGCTGACTCGAGTGGACACTTTTTTTTTCTGCCATGTCCCTGCGTCAACGGTCTGGACAGTTTCTGGCCGCTCCGATATAGGGCGGTCTGAGAAACCGCAGTCCAAGACCGCTCCGCAAGGGGTTACATCCGCACGGCCCTAGTTGGGAGGAACCACCGAGCCGACTTCGGCGGGGCTCTGCTAGCGCTATGGAAATGGTAGAAGCATGCTATGCAGGACATAGGTCCGCTTCCGTTGTCGTGCCCCACACAGCGGTGCGGAATTCGTTCAAAGAAAGCCGTTACCAGAAAAGACGCAGCTATTTCTAATTGCAATTGATCGAGTTGCTGGTCTGACAGTAGCCGGTGACACAGGCCAGGCATGGGGCTAAATAGGCTCAGTCTGACCATCTTGTTTGACAGCATTTAACGTGTTGTTGATTCGCCCGTGCCGTCATGCCCAAATAATTCGCCGGTGGCGCTGCAGAGACCTGCACCAGGACTGAGGTAGTGAATCCGAGCCTGTGTCATACCTCGAGACCTGAGTTGGAGGGTGGCCTCGAGAGGGCATAGGTGATCAGCCGCTCCCAGCATATTGGGCACATTTACATATGCGTCCATCCAGATCCAGGATGCTAACACGTGCTTGCTGCGAGGGATGATCTGGGAAACCCTAACTGCCTCCCCGAGTTCAAAATTTATCAGGGTCGGAAAATGCCTTTCCGGGTGCGCGTTCTGACAGGCATTCGGCTTATGCACCTCGACAGCATCTGTGACGTAGGAACTGCGTGGCGCCCAGGCGGTTCATCACCGAGGCGTGAGTCTCTCGTCTGGCAGCTGTGCCGTCCATGCCTGTGCCTCTCGTCTTCGGCAGGCTAAGCGTTTGATTCCCTGGGACGAGAAAGGCCCCTCTCCTCTCCTCTCCTCCCCTCCAGCTCCAATAGCCAAGAGCGAGAAACGTCTGTGCGTAGACGCCAGCAGGGGTCACACCAGCAGGGAGCTGTGAGATCTCGAACGCCTCCGGCCGGCGGGGTTGCATTTAGCATGGGTGAGACTAGGGGATGCCTAGCTTCGCTGTAGCTCAGATGCAGATGCAACAAGTCGCCGTCGTGGTTGGGCCGAGATAAGACGGTTGAAGATGCGGCTACCATTGTGATTGGCCGGCTTCTCCAATTTCACGTTGTCGATTTTTTGACAGCGACCCTTTCTGCTCTGGGCGACAACATCTCTCGATGCTGCACTGCAGTCCGGTCACGCGCCAACTTCGTTTCCTTGGGCTGGATATGCCGGACGACGAAGAGACTTGTCGCCTTATCCGTATGTCACTCTGTGCGGCAAAAGAATACGTTCCCTCCATCCATCTCATCTTATTACAGCAAGCCTTCCCTTCGTGCTGCCCTTGACGCATGTGCTCGGTGCTGCCCGCCATTGGCCAGCCTTCCCATTGAACCCGTATTGTTTGCATTTGTGATGCATCTCATCGGGAATCTCGCTCTTCTGGGCCACGCGCAACGCTGCTTTTCTGACGAGCAGCGCAGGCTTGTCTCTGTCAGAGCTTTTGTCCGTACATTCCCGCCACTACCCATGATTGATAACGCCTCCGGCGCTTTTGAGAAATGTGAGAGGTTGCGCTGCTGACCGGTCCCCTGATTTCCCGTCGGCCTCTGCCGCCGCCCAGCCATCGACACCACCAACTTCCGTAGATCGGAGGGGGTGATAGGCAGAGGATAAACACCATCCATTCTAATTCGCGCTTGATCTTCGGAGTGAAATCGGGACATGCATTCTTGTCGTTCCATGACGCAACGGACTGAGATTATCGGACGTTGCTTGGTGCCTTGAGCCTGCTGCCGCCACCACCGCCAAATGGCGTACGCACCCGCGAGAGATGGATTGAAGGACCCTAGTCGTACACACTAGGCAAAGCTTTCGGCATCAACGCGCCCCCCAGCAGCAGTAGCATGTGCAAGCGCACTTGTAGATGAACGATGTTGTAGTGTACACCCTCACCCCGTATCCCCAAACTCCATCCCCCAAATCACCCGCATCGGTGCTGGATTCGCCCTGGTAAGGGTCCGGGTCCAATTTCTTGGGGGGTTACTGCGGCCTGTCAGGGGCCCCCAAGCGGAGGCGACATCGGCCAAGGCCTCTTTGAAATGCATCAAGGTGATTGGCCGATGCCGAAAGCTTGCTCGTCGATGACATTAACCTTTCAGCTATTCAGTTTCGCAAGATGCGTAGGTCAACTGGGTGCCCCCTGCTTAGCCTGCATGCGGTGTGTGGGGTGCATCTCTGTCGCTGGATTTGGCCGAAGCGCTGGGTTTCTCTGCTGAATTTCTTTTACACCAAGTTATTGTCGCAAACAACACTCGACTGGAAGACAGCTCGCCTGGGGACACCAAACGAAGATTATCAGGCAATTGCTCTGCCGCCGGGGAAGAACGCGAGAGGCTGGCTAAATCGGTAGACCCTTGGCATGCGTAGCCAAAAGCCAGGTTGCTGGCGGTCACGAACAGAATTGTGCGAATTGTACGTAGTTTGAAAGTCGACTGAAGAGGACGGTAGGAACGAGCTGGGCGTTGGTTGTCTCGACCTTCAGCATCAGCCCACGGGAAATCTTAGCCACTGCCAAAACACGCGGTCAGAATTATTCCTCGTGTCGACGGCTGAGATGGCAGACAATGCGGTCTAGCTGATTTACCACTAGCTCGACCTGTCGAGTTGTCGAACCAAGCCGCCGGCGGCCCGCGGGTAAACGAAGACCAGGGAAAGAAAACGGCATAACCGCCCATTAAGGACCCTAGCGAGCGGCTGTGGGAATTGCTAGCAAGTGACAGATCTTTTCTTGCTGATTTGAATTGGCGACGTCTCCAATGGCGACGGAGTCTCGGAGGGCAGGCGGCGACGTGAGGAGGCGAAATGGCTCCCGAAAGATACTATGTGCCGAGTCCAGTGTACAGTGCCGGTGCGGACGACGTCGCAAAACGGAGCAGAATCAGAAGAAACGACTGTCGGTCTAGGGGCTGGCTGTGGATCGGGCATTATTGCAAGACGAGTCTAGCAACATCGACCTGGCGGGATTGGGCGCGTTGCGGACAACATCCATGTTCCCCCAGACGAGGCGGCGAGGTAGTACGTCAGGCAGTCAGTGTTGTGCTGGTGTTATGCCTCGTGGTTGCGGTTAGGCCCCGTGTCGTTCAACTAATGAGAAAAAGGGGAGTAGTAGAATATGGGGCCAAGCGCTGCGAGACTGGTACGTAGCACGGCGTGAGGGAACCTCAAACGGTCAGGGTTGGACCCCGCAGAGCAACGTTGGCACGTCCGTTGTGGTGGGTGAGCCATTTGTGGTTGGGGACGTTGTTGCGGCGCATGGGGACACAAATTACCGAGACGTGTTGTCTATGGAGGCGTCTGGGGACGAAGGTTTTCGGAACTCGTGTATTGTTGGAGAGGAGAGCATCGACAGAGAGGGTAAGACATGGCGAAGATGGTAAGTCGAATCGAACGAGTGGATATTGTCGGCCAATAGATGATGGGTGAGTCGACGCGGAGGAAAGTCGATCGAGGTTGACGTGGCCGGAGATGAGCAGAATGTATGCTGAATGGTGGTGCACCGGTATGTGTGGTGTCGTTCTGTTCCTAGCCATCCGCGGCAAGAGTCTGAACCTTTGAGAAGGAGGGAAGCAAGAGCATCCCGGCGTGCAGGTTGTTGCTGCGTCCAATACGGCGGTACGTGTGCTGCGTACGCAGTACAGACGTAAGGTAGTAGGGCATCTGCGGGATGATGGGCAGAGGTGTGATGCTTGCTTCGTGTCGATGAAGAGCGCCTCCCAGCCGATGTGCGCTGTTTTCTGGCATGTGGTTAACAGTAGTGTCCTCCTCCTCTTTCCTCAGCACTGCACAGCGCCGAACAGCACCATGGAGGGGCAAATCGTGCGCTGGACGGTCCACCTGCAGGCCGTCCTCGCCATGGACAGGCCACTCGAGAGGGAGAAATTCCAAGGTTCATTGCAGGGTGGCAGTTCAGCAGCCCTGGATTGTCTGGGCAGTCCATGGCAGACAGGGAAAGCTAGCAG